TTCCTTTTTTTACTCTCTCGCGCTCTCATCTAAAGTCTCAAGTTTCTCATTCTCAAGGTAACATTCTCATGCTCTTTTCGTGTCTCTAGTTTCGTTGTTGGTTTATTCTGCAAGGAAAACGGGCCGTTCTGTAAGGAGAATGGGTCGTGCTACAAGAAGAACGGGTCGTTCTGCAAGGAGAACGGGCCGTTCTGCAAGGAGAACAGGCCGTTCTGCAAGGAGGATGGGCCGTTCTGGATTGGTTTGAACTCATGACAAATTATTCTGGAACGGCCTGTTCCAAACAACATTTTTAGGCCATTTTAACAATTTGGAACGACCCGTTCTAGTTTTGGAACGACCCGTTCCAGTTTTAATTTTTACAAAACTAAGACTTTTAAAATCGATTATAAAACAACCGATCTTAAACGTTAACTTTTAAAATCGGTTAAATCGGTTAAATAACCGATTTTAAAAGTTAAAAATAACCGATTTGAAATTTTTTTTTCCACTAGTGGATGGTGAACTGAATAAGTAGAACTAATGCTATAAGGAACCACAAAAAGTTAAGAAAAGGATGAAACAAATCTTTCAAAACAAGTTTAGTGAGTATATACGGGCAGTGCTAGATGATGTGCGTGTGCCTTTAGAAATATTGGAGTGGAAGACAACAAGAACCTAATTGCATGATTTGATGAGTTGGAAATCAAAGAAGTAGTGTGAGAGTGTGACGGAAGTAAGAGCCTCGGACCAGATGGATATAACATTAAATTCATCAAGTAATTTTGACATATATTAAAAGATGACATGGTGAGATTATGGATGAGTTTTATGGTAACGGGATGCTCCCAAAGGATGGAAATCCATCATCATCACATTAATTCCTAAAATGGAAAACTCAAACGAATTAGAGAAATATAGACCAATTTGCTTCATTGTATGCATATGTACAAAATCATTGCAAAAGTGTTGTCAAAGAGGTTAAGAAGGGTGTTGGAAAAGGTAATTTATGAGAGACAACGTGCATTCATTAGGGGAGGGATAATCTCTTGGATGGAGTACTTATAGCAAATTAACCAGGTGGTGGATGAGGCTAAAAATAAGAATGAAACCATGTCTTATTTTTAAAGTTGACTAATTAAAAGCTTATATGATAGCTAGGTTGGAATTTTTGCAAAAAATGGATTGAGTGATAGTGGGTTGTATTCAACCAGCAACTATGTCTATGCTGGTAAATGGGAGTCTGACTAAATTGTGGTTCAAAGAGGATTAAGATAAGGAAACCCAATTGCTCCCTTTTCTTTTTGTAATGCTCGTAGAAGGATTAACAGACTTGATGAGACAAGTTGTAAGGCGCCATATCTTCTTAGGATTCAAGGTGGAAAGGAAAGGCCGTTCGCAACGCAATTTTTAATTTCCTTGAGAATTCAAAATACAGAATATGGCTGCTTTGAGAAGTATCTTTAGATGTTGAGTTAGCATATATATGGACTTGAGGCAAATTTTCATAAGAGCGAAGTAGCTAGAATACATGTGAGATGAGAGATACTATACAAGGGTATGCTGCATTTTTTAATTGCTCATATATCTATGTCTATCCCATTCGTATACTTAGGTATACCAGTGATGAGTGATCTGTTATAGAAAAAATTAGCAGGAAATTGAACTCGTGGAACCAGAAGCCCACAATTGAACCGGTCATTGTTACAACGTATCCTATATTTTATTCTCATTGTTGAGCACTGGGATTGGAGTTTCCAACACTGATCCTAGAATAGCTAGTCACAACTTAAAACTTTAAGGTCCACATAGTGTCTTCGACGCTAAGGGAAAAAACAAAAATGGATTCCGCCTGACATTGAATTTCGCATTTCTTCTCCTGGATGATTTTCAACACTAGACACCAGTGTAGCTATGATACTTTAAATGTAGATTACAACATTTCAGCATGAGTTGATGAACTTCCGAATATCAGTCGAATTTTCTGCATTTAACATGGGACTGCTTCTAACGTCTTCAACGCTCAGACCAATTGTATCAATTTTGCTATTTTCTCTATAAAAACAAGGAAAATTATCATAAAGTTGAATATTTACAATGATAAAAGGTGGAAAATAGTATCTGTATACAAATTCTTATTTTCAGTATTTTGCATTTCCAAGGTTTGAATATTTTTTTGAATTTACAGTTGCACTTTTCTTAAAAAAATTATACATATGAATTTATCATCAACTCCCTTAAAATTATACCTTTATTGAAATCGTAAACGGTCATCATATTCCTTTAGTTTTGGTCTCTTCTTGACTTCTTGCTTCTTTGCCCTACATTTTTTTTCTTCAAGAATATTACTTTAAAAAGTATAAATCAAAGTAGATTTTTTTCACATTCCCTTAGAAGATGTATACAACTTCCGAGGACAGATAGAAGTATAAAAGTAATAGAAAAGGAAAAAGAAAATAAATTCAGTGAAAAAGGAATATTATTAAAGCAGGTAATGCAGCAGAATGGGAGATTTCCCTTTTCTTCCTCCTATTTCTCTAAAGTCCTATTCCTTCTCTCTCATTCTATGTGGTGTTTCTCTGGAGCTAATGCCCCTCTTCTTTCCTTTTATAGTTGAGTTCTTGCAAGTATTTTAAAATTAATTAGAGCTGGCTTCGGAAAACAATAATATTGATACGATGTTCCCGCCGCCACAATGCATACTGTTCTTTGTGGGTTATACACAGCTTGTTCACGTTGCAGACAAGCAGGCAATGTGTTGCCGCACTACCGACAATAAAATATTATAAGACTCTGCCTGCACCTGTAATTGGCTGCAGTCTGCAATATTTTTCATTCTAGTAGTAGATTCACGTATAAATTTAACAGTGTTTTAGAATATATATCACGTACTATATCTTAATAATCCTATGTGTAATGTCTTTCAAAATACCCGGTCATCATATTTCTCGTCTATGTTTATTCTTGTTTGGGACTTTAATTATTTTATCAGTTGAATATGGAGGCTAACGAACAGATCATCTACAATAATATCTTAAATTAAAATTCATATTTTAAAATAGTAATTAGATATCATTGGATCACAAAGTTGAACACCAAAAAATACTTCATCTGTAAGTAGTTAACAAACTACATAAATGAACTTAATATCATATTTTAACTCAAAATTTTAAGACATAGTTATTACAGTAACAGTCCTAAACACAGTTAAAGTGGACGACTTTCCATGACTCTATTTTTAGAAGAATACCGATTTTTTTTTAATTTATATAAATATAAAATAAAATTTATATAATTAAATTATATAAGAAAATTATTATTATTAAAATTAATTAATTAACAACAATTAATCAATTCATATGTGATATTTTTATTTCTCAATAAAAAAATATACTTGTAATTTTAGAAATGTTTAAATATATTTTTAATTCCTCAAATTTAAGACAAATTTATTTTTGGTTTCTCAAATTTAAAATGGTTGTATTTAGTCCTTATAATTTTTTAAAATCTTGTTTTAGTCCTTCAGATCACCAATTACATATCTGAAAGTGACAAATTAAGACGATTATGCAATATTAATTAGATTTAATATGATATTTTCGCTAACAAGGACATTAATAGGTAAATTATGCATACAATATTTGATAAATTTTTTAACAAAATTTGAATATAAGGATTAAAATATATAAGATTTTTTGAAATTACAGGGACTAAACAATAATTTTAAATTTGAAAGACCAAAAAAATATTATCCTAAATTAGAGGGGCTAAAAACATATTTAAATTTAAATAAAAAAAATCGATGATCTTAAATATAAAGAAGAAAGTGTGATATAGAATATAATATATTATTGATTTATTTTCTTTAATTTTTCTTATCTTATATTTCTTATTATTAATAAATTAGAATAGACTTGAAATTTCTCTCTTTTCCTTCTTAAAATCAAAATGGAAACCTTTTTTGTTAGATAGTTACTAAAAATTTCTTGTACCATCATTGTTAATTCTTTTCTTTTATTACAATAAATTGAGAGTTTAAGGTGAAGATTTAAGAATGAGCAATTAGATACTATTGTTTCATCTCATTGTCATTCACTCATTAAAGACATAATTTGAATCATAGAATATAATTTAGTTTTTTTTATCTATATTTGTCTAATTGTTTAAACTTGAACATATTGCATAGAAAATAATCTTCTAAACATATAAAATGGAAAAGAAACAAATTAAAGTTAATATTGATTCTCAAAAGGGTGTTTTTATAAACTTTCTTGTTAAATATCTTAGAACTTTTCTTCAAAATAATGCAAATCTAGATAATTTAGACTCCAAAACTAAAAATTTTGGTAATAAAGAACTATATAAAAATAATGAAAAGTTTAATATTCTAGTTAAAAATAATGAAAATAAAAATAACTATCATAATAAAATTAAATATTTTAATAATAAAAATTAACATATTTACATTAAACAATCTAATCAATATAATCATTAGACATTTATGATCTAACGATATGAAATAACTTTAAAAATGATTTATAAGATAAATTATTAAAAAATATTACTAAATGAGATATGTCTATTATAAATAGTCTTAAGAATATTTTTAATATATTAATAAACTTGTAATAAAAAAAATATAAGGACAATAATATTTTTTTTATTAGTTTAGGATATTAAAAACTCATAATCAACCAGAATTAGTAGATATATCTCATATATTCAACTTTATCTTACATGAGACCATCTTATTTACACTTGAACTTCAAGTGATATCCTATACAGATTCTCACCCATCATGCATCATGCATGCCAGTTCAGACGAGCGGAGTTTCTCTGGCAGTTCAATAAACAAAATTGGAGGAGGAAAATAGAAACACAACCAGAATTTATTTATGGCATTCAAACCATCTAAAGGATTGTTTAGAGGAATGTTATGTATGTGGGGACTGCTACTTCAACAAAATCAATGCTTAGCATCAGTTAAAAGTTGTTGCTATGCATGTGTTTTAATTAGACAATCACATGTCCTGAAAGGCTGAAACCAACGGTGGTGAAAAAGGTCAAGCTATTTGTTAAGAATAATTAGTTTGAAGACTCGTAGAAAATGAATAAGCTCTATAAGAATAGCAATTACACATTATCATTGTATCTTTTATCATTCAATAATCAATTATACGATGAGATACTTTTATGGTACTCCTCTTCCTCTCTAATTTATTTTAATACACTACAAGAAATGTGACTTTTAGTGACAAAAAAATAGTGATGAAAATAAAACTTGTCACTAATAATATAATTTTAGTGACTAAAATTTTCTTTGCCACTAGTATTATGTACAATAGTGACAAAAAATAAATTGTCACTGTAATTTTATTAATAGTGACTAAAAAATGTTCGTTACAAAAAAATTGACACTAATATCTATACATATTATTTTTTATTTTATAATCGTCACTAATACAAATTTTACTAAACATAAAAAAATGTATTTGTGCCAAAAAAAAAGTTTACTTTGTCACAAATATTATAATTCACAAGTAAATTTTATAGAAGTTGACATTTAATTTTTTATTACTGATGTCAAATTATTCATTATTTAAAATTTGAAATATTTATATTTATTATAACTTATCGTAAATATTTAATATTAATATATTAGCAAGTTATTAAAATATATCAAATTGGAGTAGTTAGTTTGACATTAAAATGATTTAGTGATTAATTATTCAAAACTCAAATTAAAGTGGTAAAAAATAAGTTGAATTGACCTAATAAGCTAAAATTAAAAAATTAAAGTGATTTCTAAAAATGGTTTTAATTAGTATCCCTACAACTAGCTAAACAATATTTTTCCCAATCATCAATCTCCATTACTCTTACTGTTTTTCATTTTTATTTCTTTTTATTTACTTTTATTAACAACATATTCGTTTATGTATAAAAAAAATCTTGTCACAATTTAAATTATGTATTATAAATATATAAGCTTAAAATATAATTTTTATATTTTTAATATTCATTTTTATCAAAAATAGAATAATTATTTTTAAAAAAATTTAATTATAGTTTAATTTATAAATATATAAATACTGATTTATTAAAAATTATATTTTCATTATATAAAAATATTTATTATATATAATACACAAACTAAAATACTCAATGAATAAAAATAATTAAATTTATAATTTTATTTCAATATTAAGATTAAACATTTTTTATGAGGTTAACTTTATTATTGATTTATTCTATCGCCTATAATATAAATATTAAAGAATTCAAATTTGAATAAAGTTAAACTAGCATAAATAATATTTTTGAATAATAATTATTATTAAATTTGGAAATTTAATTGAATCAAAAATTTGAAAATAATATTATCTTTTATTGTTAAAATTATAAACAATTTTCAATAAAAATTTTTTAAACTAGAATAAATTTTTGTTCTGATTAAAATTGAGCATTTAGAAGGTTAAAATAAATATAATTACCATATTGTAGTTTATCTTTATTATTAATTTAGTCTTTTACTTATAATAATAATATTATGAAAATTAAATTTGGAATGAAATTCATTCAAAATTTTGAAATTAGAATAAAATTTTTGTTCCGAGTGAGAATTGAGCCTTACACCTTTAGAATGTTAAAATAAATATAGCCATTACACTAGAGTTAGTTTTCATGCTTGTGTACAATTTTAAATCTATACAATTATTAGAAAGATATCTTTTGAGTAACTTCCTTAGTTTCTTTTATATGGACTATTTTACTTTTTTAAAATTATATTTAAAAATCTAAATTATTCTTTCTTTCTCAATATCTTTTTAGCCTTAAATCGTTTGTTTTTTTTAAATAACTACTTATTCTATAATTTATTTTTTTATTAATATTTATTTTTTTAAAAATAGAGAAGCATTTCCCTCTAGTTATATATATTACTTTTAGTATAATAAGTTATTTAAATGTTAATTTAATTTTTCTTTAAAAATTACAATTAAATTGATTTGGTGTTATCTTTTATTACATTATTGTTTAAATTCAAAAAAAATTATCTTTGATTTTTATCTTAATTTTCTAAAATTGATAAGATATTAATTTAGAACTTAAACTAATTATATCATAATATTATTGTATCAAATTCAAAATTAGTTGTTACTTATAATAAAAAAAATATGAAGATCATACAATAATTTATTGATAATATTATAGATAAATAAATAAAAGTATTAAACCTTATCCGAGGAATGATTATTTTGTGTAAAAACACCTTTAGAAAATATTTTAAGACGGTAGCGTTTTTAGATTATTTTTTAAAATTTCTTATGTAATTTAAAATTATCTTATGTAATTTAAAATTATCTTAAATATGTTTTTAACTTTTATTTATATAATTTTTTGACTATATTTTTATCAAATAATTTTTTATAGATTGATCACTTTTTCACTATATTAAATTAATAAAATACATTGTGCATCTTAATTTTAGAATAATAATAATAATAATAATTTAATTGGTAATTATTCACAGAACATAAGAGATTATTTTTTTCTAAATAATTTAGAGGTATAATATTATCATATCAAATTGAAATTAGTTGCCAATTATAAAGAAAAATATAAAGATCATACAATAATTTGTTGATAAGATTGTAGATAAATAAACAAAAGATATAAAAATTATATCTTAAATGTGAACTACTATCTTGTGTGAGAATATTTTTAGGGATTATTATTTGACGAGAATATTTTTAGAATTTTTTAATTTCTTATTAATGTAAAATAATTTTAGTGACTAAAATTTTCTTTGCCACTAGTATTATGTACAATAGTGACAAAAAATAAATTGTCACTGTAATTTTATTAATAGTGACTAAATGTTTGTTACAAAAAATTTGACACTAATATCTATACATATTATTTTTTATTTTATAATCGTCACTAATACAAATTTTACTAAACATAAAAAAATGTATTTGTGCCAAAAAAAAGTTTACTTTGTCACAAATATTATAATTCACAAGTAAATTTTATAGAAGTTGACATTTAATTTTTTATTACTGATGTCAAATTATTCATTATTTAAAATTTGAAATATTTATATTTATTATAACTTATCGTAAATATTTAATATTAATATATTAGCAAGTTATTAAAATATATCAAATTGGAGTAGTTAGTTTGACATTAAAATGATTTAGTGATTAATTATTCAAAACTCAAATTAAAGTGGTAAAAAATAAGTTGAATTGACCTAATAAGCTAAAATTAAAAAATTAAAGTGATTTCTAAAAATGGTTTTAATTAGTATCCCTACAACTAGCTAAACAATATTTTTCCCAATCATCAATCTCCATTACTCTTACTGTTTTTCATTTTTATTTCTTTTTATTTACTTTTATTAACAACATATTCGTTTATGTATAAAAAAGACATTATGATTAGTGTAAAGTCAAATGTAATGATAATCAATAAAAGAAATTAGATATTTTTAAACAATTTACCTATCTAATAAATTAAGTATGTTTATTTGTAATATTTTTTTGTAATTAGCTTATTATCCTTATTCATATATTCTTAAGGATTTATTAAATTGTTTATTCATACAAGAATTGATATATAAAATCCAACCGTTAATATAAATTCAGTGATTTTTTTATTTTCTCTCTATTTATCTTCTTATTTAATCATATTAATTATTTATCACATTTATATTTTTCTCTCTTTTTCTAGTCTAGTATATATGATAACAAGGTGTACATCTATTAATTTTGTATGAACAAACCGAGGAAGTTACCACTGCCAGTTTGATTGACGTGTCACTTTAAAAGGATGCCACGTGATCATGTATGACCACTTACTTTTTACATTTAAATGCAAGAAAGATGAATGCTGTAAAATTAAAACTTCACTTCTCGTTCATAAAATTCTTAATTGTAGAGTGAATTATTATTCGGTTGAAGGAATAGGTTGAAATCTAAGGTTGGGGTCACCTGTTCAAATAATTAGCATTTAGGTGCTCATTTTGGAAAGACTTTAACTCTAGGGTATTTCTATTTGTTTTCCCTTTCATTTCTTCTCTTTCTAGGTTATGGTGAAAGACATTGAGCAGAATAACCAGATAGCACCCAGAATTTTCTCTCTCGCGTAAGTTGGTTCATGTGATTTTAATACTTACCTGTCTTATCATTCTTCTCATGTTTTCAGCAAATCCATTCATATATGTACAATTTCAGCAAACATGTGGCTTTGGCACCGGAAGTTCTATTATGGAGCTGAAAAACTGACTTCACCGGGCTTTCATATTTTTGGAAACTACTACTCTCATAACCTTTTTATTTCTAATTTTATGATCTGTTTCTTTTATTTACTAACTAACCAAAATGGGAACATTTCTTAGACAATAGGAAATCTGTCTCTTCCCTAAGCTCCCATATAACTAAATTCCTCTTACAAAACCTGCTATAATTTTTTTTATAATTTTTTATTCTATTTCTCTTTTTTTATTCTTAAAATTGTTCACACAAGGTAGAAGTTTGTTTCTAATATATGAGTTAATTTAGAAAGTATTTTGAAAGTATTCTACTGTACCTGTTTTGTCAATTCCTCTCTTTCAGCTAAAACTGCAGCCACACTTGTTGGAACAAAGTCTTTCCCACGGTATATAACAATGAAATATTTATTCCTTAGCAGCAAGGTACCTCCTGTTAACATCTGCACCATAACAAGGAAAAAATCACTTTTCTGAAATTAAAATTGAAAGAAATAATAGCTAGTTCTCTATTCTTAGCTTATCATGTCTTAGCAATAAAATGACCACAGATAAAGAAAAAGAAAAGAAGATTTGACCACATTAAGTGCAGCCAGCCCAGATAACGTGTTTAATATCTTCAATGTAACAGAATTGTTTTCAGATAAAATTAAAAAATAAAATAACTAGTGTTGAAAGATCGGAAATGAGTGTTTAATTAGAGGATACATGAGTTATTAAGTGGAATAATTATACCAGGTGTTATTCTTGAAATTTAATTTAGTGAATAAGTA